AAAAAATCCTATTAGACCTACTTTGAATGACAAAATGAATTTATTTGATTACCAATATTTACCAATATAGGCTTTTATATTTTAATTTATAGACTTGATATACTACAACCATATAAAACTTGCTCACGTTTTGCTCTGGCTTCCGTCTGTTCGCATAAAACACTCTCGTGTTTCTAAGAAAAATTATTCCAAAGTGAATCTTTACTCACTGAAACAGTTTCACCACCTTGTTATTCTTGCTCTACATTATTGTCATCTATACGTTTGATAAGAATATTACACTTGTATGATCTATCAGTTTCCTGACAAAATACATTGCGAATTCCATCTCGGCCAGTTTTTGTAATAGCCTTGATAATTGTACAGATGAATTCTGGGTAGATTTGGGCTCGCCTCAGAATCGTAGTGTGAGCGGTATCGGAGCGAAATTGGAGCGAGACAGAGCGACCGCTCCAGCCTTAATTAAAAAAACCGCTCCGCGCTCTGACTAAATTCCGACCGCTCCGCTCCTCGCTCACGCTCCACTCACATGCTCTGGTGTGTGTGTTTGTGCATGTGTGTGTGTTCGCATGCGTGTATACGTGTGTGCGTGTGTGTGAATGAGGCTCTCTTACCAGGGTTCCTCTGCCTCTCCTAATCGCCCATAATACTCTATTGTTGTAACAATCGCAGCTCTGCTCTAGGCTTCAGCTTCACCCGCCTCCTCACCCTCTTGCCCGCCTTCTTTCTCTCTCCCTTTGTCTTTGAGTATTTTGGAATTTAATTCCACAGGTGCAGCATATTAGCTCTTCTGCTTTTGCATTTCTTGGATTTGTTTCATCTGCTTTCATTTAAGCTGCCGTGTGTTTTTGTTAAACCTGTCCCTGCTCAGTTTTCCCAGTCAGAGATGGTGCAAAGAGCATCACCAGTCACCTGCGCTGCCACTCAGCCAGTTGTTGCTCTTCCTCCCATCGTTCTTACGGTGTATCTTTAAATATTAAAGCTCTGCACTTCCTGTGCGCTTTCCCGCTCCCATACAGCTTCATTGCCGTGGAAACCATCGACACCTACTCCGTGCTCATCTCCTCCAAAGTGGTGTACTTCCTGAAGCCAGGAGAGTATGCCGACCGTGAGGCCATCTTCTTGGAGGTCAAGTATGATGACCTCTACCACTGCCTGGTCTCGAAGGATCACGGGAAGGTCTACGTCCAGCTCACGAAGAAAGCCGACAACACCAGTAGCGGAGTGGCCATTCCGGGCCCATCACACCAAAAACCCTTGGTGAGTGATTGAAGAAGGTGTTGCATGACAAGATCAGCCTAAGAAGTTTCCTTCATGCACTTAAGGGCGAGTTAAATGATGCAACAAACCAGACTTTCGATCACTGACTGTTTTAACCTGATTTGTTTACTGCTCAATGCTTCCTTTTGGGTTAATTCAGGCAGTGATTGACAGCAGACAGAAATCCCATCCAATGTGGGCTTTTGAAGCCTCATTACTCCCATCATTAGACAGCATTACTGCTAATGGTGGATTGAGCACCAGTGTTCGCGTTTTATGTGAGGATCTTTCTGCTTTTCGACGGTGTTTGGCAGCCCTGGATGGCTCATTGGGATGTGTGTAGCTTGCGCAGACTGACTGCGGTTTCATGTCACAGGTTCACGTGAAGAGCGAAAGCCTCGCCATCAAGATATCTCAAGAGATCAACTACGCCAAGAGCCTATATTATGAGCAACAGCTCATGTTGCCGCCCAATGAGAATGAAGATAGCCTGCTGCTGGATTCCTGACTGACCAATCAGATGGCAGTCAGATGTTTTTTTTCTGAACAAAGTGAGCATTGAAACACCAATCAGCCCTGCTGGGAGGCACTTTATTTTGTACACAGATTAGGGTGCTCAAAGAAGCACATCTGTAAAATAAGTCAAATATGCACCAAGTGTTGTTTTATCAAGCTCTGTAAGTATAGGACTGCAAAGAGAGAAGACTAAAAAGATATTTTATTTTACAGAGATGTTTATAAAAGAACCATAGTGTGTAAGTGTATATACATACAGTGACATGTATATAGAGTTCAACACTACTGATGATGTGAAGATGTGTACCAATAACGGGTAAAGAAATACCCGTTATGAAGGAAATGGAATGGGGGATGGTCACGTGTTGGGGGATGGTCACGTGTTGGGGGATGGTCACGTGTTGGGTGATGGACACGTGTATCTGCCTTTTGCGCTTTGTAAATAAGTGCTTTTGGGTGACACGCACTGTAAATTGCACTCATGCTAATGCAGCAGAGACTGGTAGTGTCTGGGGGGGGGGGGGGGGGTCGCCGACACGCACCCATCCTCACCCATGAGAACTCCAGGGGGGGTGCGACACGCCACTGAACACTATCGCTAATGTCTGCTCCATCCTGTGTCTCTGTGCTGAAATACATCATTTGAATACTTTCCTTTTAACAAGATTTTGCCGATAAAAGAGCGTTTTCATCGTGTGATTTTTATTTTATTTTCCTTCTTTCCTCCGTCCACCTCCAATGGGTCGAATCACGTTTGATCCCAAAAGCCGCGCTGCCAGGAATACCTAGACGTGTTTCATTAACTAGAGCGCCGCATCCTCTGAGCCTTCAGAGCTGACGTATTGTGCCTTTCTCCCCCGTTAATCCTTATTTTTCCCTATGCAATAAAATGTTCTGGCTCGCTATCAGAAATACCCAGAATGCCACTTTGCTCCACATCCCTCGCTAGGCCATTTCCCCGCGACGCGGATGATAAATGTCTCTGGATAAGACTGGCTAGCGACGGTCTCCTTTTATCTCGTAACTGCGGAGGCAGTGACCAATAACCACGGACCTATCAGCCGCTATCGGCTTGTGCTTACTGCTGGCCGCCTTCTCCTACAATAGCGCTGTCTGGTTTGGCGGCCTCACCCTGTCGTCCGCGTAATCAGGGCCTGCTGTGTGCCGGCGTTGTCTGTAGTGGTCATCTTCTCATTGTTGGGAAGGCAATACAGACACTCCATCCGCTGCACTTGCTGGGGGTCAAACTGTTATCTGTTCTAGTCCTGCTGGTCGAGTGCACATCTCCGCCCTTCTGACATTCTGCGGTTTCAATGGGCTTCTTCCCAAAAAGAATGATTTCTTTAATTTACCCTTGTGCAGCTTTCAGGTTTTTTTTTTTCAATACTTACTCGAGCCACTGAATGAAGCAATTTATCCTTTCCTCCCCTACATGTAAGAAATACCGTCTTAGGAGTTTAAAAGCATACGATAGGTTGGTGTTTGACCAAATGTGTAACTGGTGTTAATCGCTGCTTTGTGCTGTCTTGCGTCATTTTTCCTGTATGCTTATACCGTTTGCGGGCTTTAACGTGCCGCAGACACTCGTGAAACAAGTTTCCCTGATTTTTTTTTTTTGATAATCCACTTATTTTTCCAAGATTCTAGTAAATGATCTGACTAGACCAGTTTTTCAGAGCTGACAATAGTCTAATAAAATCAGTGTGTGTACAACATGCATGTATTTGTGAACGCTGTTTGTGTGTGTGTGTGTGTGTGTGTGTGTGTTTTCATTCAGGTTTTCTGCTCTCTGACTCCAGTGCATCCCTGCCTGCCGTCCGCCATTGCAGTATGTGTGTGTATATTAACCCTGCACAATGTCTTAGGACCACGCTTAACATAAAAAAAAGTTGTTGGCTCATTCAAGGACAAAGTGTCCAGGCCAGGCTGCTGGTTTCCAGACCCATTCGCTCGCCCCTCCCTCATTTTGCTGGACATGTCTGTGTGTTGACACTGTCCCCGGGTCGCCTGTGTGGCGTCACACGTGTCACATGCGGAGTCGGACTTTGCAGCACTGCCTTTCCGCCGATCTTCACTTAACCTGCCTGTCTGCAGTAGGCGTGTGCTTTGCTGGGGCCAGATTCCCCCACCATCCCGATTGTAGGAGGGACTGCTGCTGACATCCGTAGGGTGAATAGCTCAGTGTTCGGAAAGGAAAGTTGAATTTTAATGATGCATTCTGACTTAAGAAAAAAAATTATGTTAAGAAAGTTTAAGAGGTTAATATTACTTCTTTATTAAAATGAAACTGAGCATAATAGCTTAACTATAAAGAGACTGAAATTAAATTGTTGTATAGCAGTGGAACAGACATCCTGACAGCCCATAATGTGTCCTGGTTATGGATTTCCTGGATGAAAGCTTTAAGAAAGATGTCATGCGATGGTTGCCGTTGCCCGATGCTTCTCCGAAATGTCTGGCCACTGGTCCCCTTGCCAGCCAGCGGTTTGCTCCTCTGTCCACTGATTTACATGGAGATTAACTTTTCTATAATTTTAAAGTGTACAGATTATAAAGCTTGATAATAAAATTAAGTGCATTAACTGCAAGCCTGTGGTTGGGACTTTGTATCTTTCCATTTCACTTAAATGGGGGGGGGACAGTTAACTGTATTTCTGAAGGGAGAAAATGACGCAGCTCTGGAAAAAATTGAGACCATAACGCGGTTGTTTGTTTCACTCATTTGTCTAATTATGGTTATCCCTCTATCTCATTAATGAAGGGCTTCTTCCTTTCTCTATGCTGCTAGGAGCCTGATACAATCCTGTCCTAGGAGTGTACTTCACACTTAATGTTTCCCATTCCTTTTGAAGGTCACTTGATGTCATCCTCTGATTCATGAGAAACTGTTGGATAAGTTGACGGTCATCTCTGGCATTAGAAAGTCGCTTCTGCCCTCTACCTGGGTGGTTTCTGGTCATTCCCAGTGTCTCCTGCTTCACTTTATTCTCGTGTACTGCCTTCTGGCAGCAGAACCCGGACTAAACCAGGATTAAAAATGCAAATTTTAAAGTGTGTGTATGTATGTGTATGTATATGTAAAATCTAAAAAAATGGAGTGGTCTCCCTTTTTCCCAGAGCTGTATTTCTATAAGGACCAGCTCCAATTGCCAGCTGTCCAGTTGTGGATTTCTGCGGAAATCCCTGCCAATGAGAGTCACTGTTGCTGTCAGGATGACAAAAGTGCTCACAAGTCTCCCTCAGACTAACCAGGGGGGTGCAGAAACTCTCCAAGCCTGTGTGCCGGGCACGTGCTGCCTGGTGATGGACGGGCTTGGTGCAGTGGCTGCCTGTGGCCCTTTAGCTCCCCATGCTAATCGAGCGCTCTGCGCGGCACAGGGTGCTAGCAGAGCGCTAAGCTCCGGGTGCTAGCAGAGCGCTAAGCTCCGGGTGCTAGCAGAGCGCTAAGCTCCGGGTGCTAGCAGAGCGCTAAGCTCCGGGTGCTAGCAGAGCGCTCCTGCTTTGGAGCAGCCAAAGGTGCATCGTAGCTGGCGACGGCTACCGCTTGCTACTGGCGGCCATATTGGGCCAGTGGCGACTGTTGTGTCACTTCTGCACTCATTCCCCGTTAAGGTTCCCTGATCTGACAGCCAGGAAATTTGGCCTCAAATGGATTCCCGGCACTGAGGTACATTCTAACTGAAAATCTTTCGGTTCCTCTCATCCCAGCTTTATCTAATGCCTAACAAAACCACAGCTGGAAAGTCATTGTATAATGTCAACAAATTCCGGTTAAAAAAATAAATTTAAATCCAGACCAAGATTTTGTTTCTACCAACCAGCTGAATGCCCTGTGACTCTTTATACACAACTTCTTTGTTGAAACAAAACCTTGGTCTGGATTTGTTCTTTCTGGACCTGAATGTCCCAACACTGGCGTAGACCTTACCTCTTCATTGCAGTATATCATGTCACCTGGTGCTTCAGCAATCCACGAGTTTNTTGTTTCTGGACCTGAAATGCCCAACACTGGCGTAGACCTTACCTCTTCATTGCAGTATATCATGTCACCTGGTGCTTCAGCAATCCACGAGTTTCGATCTGCTGTCTACAATCGGAAGGTCTCTGCCCCAAGACAGGCTCTGATGATTACTAACTGGCAAGATGTCTGTATTCAGAGGTGAAGTTTCATGCGTGCCTCTGTCCATGCTGTGACTGCTGGGATTTCCAGGTGTCAGGTGACCCACCAGGTCGGAACTAGGGAAATAGCCAATCAGAACCATTGTATTCATTCCATGTGTCCTATGATTCTCAGCAAACATTGCAAAAATATCTAAGGAGGCCCCACATGTGGTCTACAGAAATAACAGGCAACAAACAGCACCAGTTTAACTTCTAATCCTGTCCCCATGCGTGAAATTCAAATTCAGTGTCCTGAGGTAAATACCCATACTGGAGTATGCAAATCAGCCTTGTTTGTCTTTGCGATATCATGTGAAGACAGATGGCGTGCTTGGGAACCGCTTCTTCACATTCCCAGTAGCGTCGCCACGGCGATCAAACGTAGCAGCAGTCCTGCTGGTGGGATTTCCCATGCAGGTGAGCCCTAAGTCTCCCCGCCACCCCCACCTGCCCTCCTGTCTGATCTCCGCTCCTCCACCTGTGCCGGACCCCACAGAGCAGCCTGCTTCCCCAGTCGAGGAGTTCATCGCTGGGTGAGTCGCCTGCCTCAGCAGCCTCCTCTAATTTATCCGCTGTTTGGCTAACCTCTCTCTGAACCCTCCCCCCCCCGAGATATGAGCTGTCTTCTCCGACTGGTGCACACTGAGCCACGCGCTTCCATTGGGCCAGTTCACGCTTGACGCTTTTTTTCCGTCCGCGACGGCCCCTCATTCGGATGAACAGAAGTCCAGGCAGAAGATTATGGTTTTCACCCCCCCCCCCCCACACTCACTCTCACATAAATTTCAGCCACATATCTATAATATATACACATGCTTATACGAATGTATGATTGCGGTTTGAATGTGTGACCTCACCATGCATTCCAAACCCCCCCCCCCCACACACACACACAGACACAGGTCACATACTGCTCACAGCATGATCTCTGCAGAGGAATTTTGTAATCGCACAGGGCGGTATTTTCGGTTTGCTTGAATTCAAATAAATGTTTATGAGTCTTGTCTCGTAGCCAAAGGTCATGCACTCTTCCCATTTACTGCAGTTGTTATTGTTTGGCACTGGATCTCACTGCACTTGTTTGGAAAGCGTTAAGATGGAGTTGCACGTCTAAAAATTTGGCCTGCCTGCTTCCATGTTGTTTTATAGGTGCACGTTTAATAGATCCTGTCAGCTTTGTCTGATACTTTGAGACAAATGTTCTCTCGCAGTCGGGTTGTCGATGGATGACGTTCAAAGTACTTCGTCTGTGCACATGTATTCAGTCAGAGCCAGTGCTGAGAAAAGAAGAAACTTAAAACTTATAACGACAGACTGAGTTTTTTTTTTTTTTCCCCTTCATGTTTCCAGCCTCGGCTCTAAAATTCATTGTGCTGAAAGAAAAATTAATGGGGAAGCAACTATAGACATATTAATCAATTCAATGCGTTCGTTTTTTTCTTTGACAGTTGAGCTTTATGGTGTTCCCCACCCCCACGGAATATAATAAGCAATGCATTATTCGGTTGTGACCTACTAAATCGAGTAGTGCGGCTCGCAGAATGTTGAAGAACGACTTTCCTAAGAGAGAATGAGTATCACATTTAGCTGCACACTCAGGCACTGGCATTTCACTCAATGTTTAGATTCCAGCGAATGATTGTCACTAAGAGGCTGACTTTACTTGTATATTTGAATCTCACAGCACACCCCAGCGCATCAGCTTCACATGTACATAAACTACGACTAGAGGTCCATTTGCGTTCGATTTCCAGCGTGTTTGAGTAGGCCTTTCCCTGCGTATTCACATCAGACCTTCGTGTGTTGCCTACGGCTAAGTGCCGCGTGGAGAACTCATTCACATTAATAATAATCGCTCATTTCAGACTTTTAATTCCTGTTAATTGGGTGGCGACAGGCACCAGCTATGCACCAAAAAATGGAAACTAGGCTGGCCTGCAGAATTCTCATCTGGTGAAGAAGCATGGAGAGGCTGGGTGAATGAACAATGGAAATCCTTTAAACAGCTAAGTGCTTTGAAACCTGCAATTTTTCTCCTATGATTTTAAGTGGCAAATGTAAAGGATACACTCATGTTCAGCTGATGCATTTCCCAGACATGACTCTGCTCTGAGTGAACGTTCAGCTTTGCCAAGACGGCCTGCCTCTCATATCCCCCAATCCCCTAAATTCTATTAGATTTACATGCATTCAATCAAGTTACTGAGTTTTTTTTTTTTTTTAAAAAAGAGTTTTTTGTTTTGAAGTCTGAATAAACAGCCCAGGTCTAATTTAGTCTAACAGTTATCTGAGGCTAGAACAAGCCTCAGATAAGAATTGAACAAATAAACTAACAGATCAGTGACCGTTTGGCAGGATAAGTGGAACAGATGGGCTTATAGATGAACTTTAATGCAAAGGTTGCAGTCGCACGGTTATTAAACACTGTATTTTTATGTCTGGCTCTGGATTTTAAAACAACAATATCACAGTGACTGTAGGTAGGAAATGCTACGAGATGCTAACATACTTAGCTGATTACGATGATGCGTCACACGCTCGGCAGAATCAGGCAACGCACTGGTGGTCACGCACTGACGCCTTGGCTTTTTACAAAGAGCATGAAATCTCTATCATTCGTCATCACCCATCTCTTGAGTGGTACTCGCTGGAAGAGCTCGCCACGAGCCGCCACGGGAATCCCTCCAGACGGCAGGGATGACTCCGAAGCCAGAGGGCCGCCGTGGAGAAGGATCTTGCATTAATTTAGAAAACAAGGAGAAATCTTGGCGCTGAAGGCTTTCGCTGCCAAACAATGATTTTTTTAACTGGAACGGGGAGAATGAGCACAGCTGCCTGTAATCTTTATATAGTTTGGACTTTACAAGCCCCTGCCACCTCAGATCTCCGTTCCAAATTGGCCGATGAGGGGGGGGGCAGCTCATCCAGTGGATTTCACCTCTAATTTACTCTTTCCTTTCCATGGCAAACTCACCGGTTGGTGACCGTGACCGTGACCGTGAAGCCAGCTTGTTGGCCGGAGAGCAAGTCAAAACCTTATTGTTTATTGTTAGTGTTCTACCCCCCACCCTCCCCAAAAGGGAGAAAATCCCCTAACCCTTAAAGCTGCGGCTCCCCTACAGCACACTCGCTTCAGGATGGGGGGTTGTGGTGACGATACTGCTGTGTGCAACACAATGTCACGGCCGGTGGTGTGCTGCAGTGACCCTCCAAAGCCACCCCCCCCCCCACACACACACCACACCTTGCACATATGAGCCTGCTGGTCTCTGCTAGTCACATGAACGTATAGAAATGTGCAATTATCAAGTCAATTTTATTCAGTAATCCAACACACAAATAAGATTTCATTTACTTTAAAAGTTTGGCGGGTGGAATAACTTTAAAAGAAATCAGAAGTTTATAAGAATTCCAGGGTAAAAATCTGGTTATGAAACCATGAAGAATTAAGTTGGAGTCCTTTGGGGAGGTTTCATGGTGTAGGCTGGGCATGCTGCAGATCTTCCTCGCCCCTGGGCTGCCACTTCAGAATGAACAGGAACACTTCGAAACATGAATGGCTCAGGGACAAAGAATATGAGATGGCGTCCAAATATGCCAAAGTCACCCGAAACGCACCAAAAAGCAGGGCCACAGACATCAGACGGCTCCGGAAAAGTCTACGTGGCCTCGGCTGCCATCCCCAAGCTGCGGAGCTGCGTTGCGGGGTACTCGTCTGCGTCTGCGTCTGCGCCGTGGTCCTCACATGGCTGCTGGTCGCTAGGCTGGCCCCGCCCTCTATGTCCGCCCCTTGAACGTGTTCATGCAGGTGTACGTCCCCGAGAACCTATGAATTTCTTCAAGGGCAAACTGTGGTAGGAAGCTGTTGTGGAAGAATACAAAGAGACATTAAGGCCTGCTAATCTGTCAAATGTGCTGCCGATACTTCTTACTAAACTACTGCTAAGCTTTTTTCCAGTAACCATGGTTATACAAAAGATATACAGAAATAGACGGGGAAAATGCTTCAGATTAATTCATTGTTGCAGTGATTATAAACAACAGTATTAACTATAATTATATTAGCAGTTATTGTTATATATTTAACCTGATCAGCAGATACTTTGGATAAAAGTAACATACATTTTTGAGGGGGGGGGAGTGGGCTCAGGGGTCCGCTGATGAAATCACCCTGACAGCTATGGGATTTGACCCAATGACCTTCCTATCACAGGTACAGCATCCTAACCCACTGAGCTACACACCGCTGCCAAAAATCCTGACCCTCCCCGTCGGGCAAACGACACCAACAGATGATCGTTAAAACATTAAAACAGTGGTACTGAAGCAGATGAGATCACGACGTGGCACAGTGACCCCATACTGTCTGCGCTTTGAGGGAGGCAGGCCCACCTCTTGAGGATGACGAGCGCATGCATGGTCCATGGGAGATAGACGAAGGCCTTGTTGCTTCTCACTGCATCCACTGTCCGTTGGGCCACGAGCTCCGGCTTCAGGGGCGGGAAAAGCTGGGGGAACCTGGCGGGGGTCCGATGGCACAAAGGGGGGGTCACTACCTCTGCCCAGCCGGAACGGGCGCTCTCCCACCACGGGTGTCCCCGCCCACTTCGGTTCTGATTAGCCTGTCGTGTGGCTTCCTGGATTTTCGGGCTGTGGTTCTGCCGTCGGCCATAACCCGATTTGCTGCCATATGTTAAGCTGCCTTATCGTTTTGTTTGGCTGATGCTTTCTTTCCAAAGCGACTTACAGTTTTTACGCATGTATACATGGGGGTGTTACACTGGAGCAGGTCAGGCTAAATATGTCAGCCGGGGTGGGTCCACGGTCTGCCCCCGCCGCCCACATCCCTGTCCCCGCCCTCACCGGATCCTCATGCCCTGGAACATCTCGGTGTTGGTGTGGAAGGGCAGCACAGTGGTGCAGGTCATCCCGGGGCAGTCCAGCAGGCCCAGAGTCAAGCTCTCCATGAAGGCGAAGGCGGCCGCCTTGGACGTGCAGTAGTCAATGGCCCCGGGAATGGAGGACAGTGACAGGATGGAGTTGACGCAGACCACGTGGCCGTCACACAGCCCCAGCATCCGCGGCAGGAAGGCCTTGGTGGTCTGGAGGGGGTCAGAGTGGGGTGGAGGGACTTAGACCCTCTTTATGATAGAGTGCGTAACACAGATCTGAAGCAAGAGCGTTAAACCGCCAGTCTGTTATTGTTTTGCCATGATGACCTTTTTTGAGTTAAATTCTGCACGCCCAAGTCAAGCGGCAAGCTGAAAAGAAGCAGGAGGAAGAGAGAGAACTGAGCAGAGATGGTAGCTTCAGACCCCCCGAGCAGACGTGGCAGCTTCAGAGCCCACCCCCCCCAGCTCCTTTTTATACTGAGACTGAACCACAGACATCATCACACAAAAGCTAGCAGAGCTTTTTGGGGGGCGGCGGGGGGGGGGTGTGTGACCAAACACTCCCCGCAGCCCCATCGCTGTAAACCCAGAGCTGACTTGAGGTTTTGATTGACTTCACAGATGTTTGCGCTCCACCGCATAGGGGCCCGGCGCTCCACCAGAACAGAAAGATGTTTGATCGCTGGTAAAGTAATAAGGCGAGATGCTGCAGACGTGTCAGACACCGGCGTGTGTGTGCAGCGCCCCGAATGCAGGATTCCCCCTCCCCACGCTCTGTAAGCGAAGACGGGCAGCACGGTGCCACGTGGGGCCGCCTCTCACCCACCACCGACAAATCGGAGCCATTTCCGCCCGTGGGGCTGTGGCATCGTCCAATGGGAGCGCAGCGCTCGCCTTGAGGAGCGGCCAATTATTATTAACAGACTTGCAGGCCGGGTTTTGTCAGCCTCCGTTTCTTTTGTAAATGGAATGTGCAGTTTAGTGTTAACTTTTTGTGTCGGCCGTGCTGGTTTTGGCACATTCCATGCGCCCGGCCGATCGCTGCAGGCCGACTTGTAGCCATGTAACCAGTGCGCCCATTAGCTGTGGAAATCGAGCGGGTTTATCGTGAGGTAAGCAGGCAGCGAACTCCCCCCAGCGTCACGGGCTGGTGGCACCTGCGGACGGAGAGCGGGCAGGCCCGTCCCTGCAGAACTCACCCAGAACTGGCCCAGAGTGTTGATGTGCTGCGTTTTCAGCAGCGCGTCATCGTCACTGTCAATTAAGGTCTTCCCGTGGACCACAGCGGCGTTGTTCACAAGAATAGTAACATCCCCCACCTACAATGAAAACAAGTGCCATTTATATTTTGACACAGTAAAACCCGATACCTCCCTACGGTTCAGAGAGGTTATGCAATTCGTCTCATTTTTTTATTTTCCCTTTCGAGTGCTTTTCTCTCTCCTCCTTTTGCTGGGTTTCACGTTCCCCGTGCTGACAGAGAATCATTATTTGTCGTTATCTTATCCAGACTTCTCAAACGGAGTGTAATCTATCCCGGGACAGGCCTTTGAGGAATGCAGATACTTTAACTCGAAAGAGCAGCCGCTGAGCCTCCTGACGGTCCGACTCGCCTGAAGTTAACGTGTCCCGCAAAGGCCCGTACATAACAGCGTTATCAGCACTACAGGAACATTCAGAAACACTTATGTTGGCCACCACATGTTGCTAGGTAACACCTTCTATGAACTACACTTTCAAAAACATGCCCACGTTCCCAAGCTTAGAACGTTAACTATCTCATTCTGTGAAGGACCTCTTAACACCTTCACAAGCACTATAAACATTTTTAATGGCTACGTAAGCAACCAGGTTACAGAATCTCTTAGGGAAGATCTAGAAGATCAGGATGCATTTATTATCTTTCATGACTTTGGCATAGTTTGCGAAGCAGTTATGAAGATGCCGTTTTCCCAAAGTTAGCTTGTCCCTGAGCACTTTAATAGCAACGTGAGAGCCGTAAATTCGGAGGAGATCCTTACCTTCTCCCTGACGACCTTGGCCTGCCTGTACACCTCCTCCCGGTTGCCCACGTCACACACGAAGTAGTGGCACTCCGTCCCTATCTGCTGGATCTCGCTGCATGTCTCCCTGAGGCTCCGCTCGGTGCGGCCCCAGAGGATCAGCTGAGGAGAGCCAGAGGCACAGCGGAGCCCTTAGCCAGCCAGTTCATCTCAATCACGCAGCTGCCGGCAGTTTGGTAGTTCGGAGTGATGAGCCATTGTGGCCACATAAATAAAAGCGATTTATGGTGGAACCGCACGAGTCTCGGCCTCCCATGGAGCCCACCGGCTGCTGGCAGCACATTCTTTTGTCGAAGATGGACCGCCCACCCCCCCCGGCATCAGAGTGCAGGCCTGGCGAGGTGGTCAGTTGAGTGCTGCCCGCGTCTCTCTTCATCGTGACTCCTAACAGCGTGTGGACTCGCATCGGGACGCGCCACAAATTCAAACTCGTTAACTTCACAAAGTCACAAGTCCTCATTGTTCAGACCCGGACGGCATTGCGGGTAACGTTCAGCCTAAGTGGCCTGTACGGAGCTGCTCCAGCCCTGCAGGATTTGCCTGGTTCAAACACAGCCCTGATTTGCTTATTTACCTAATTATTTGGATCTTTCCGGAGGTCCCCTCACCTGGCGTTTCAAGTGCAAATGAGGTACCAATTAAACCCCTCTAACACATGCAGGACTTTATTTACTCTCTTTGAAGAGCATGAGTCACAGCAGAACTTCCTTTCAGGATCATGTGACATCACGTTTTTGTCCCACATTTACAATTTGAACATAACTTGAGAGTCGCACATCGAACCCACAGAGCTGCAAAGGCGAGGGGCCCTTTCCAGACTTCACATGCTCCTCAGTGGCCCTCAGAGAGCAGACACAGCTGGGCGGCGCGGGCTGGATCTGTCCTCTGCGATTAGATCCGTCTTTGGGGTCAGGAAGAGGTAATGAGGAAAACAGCGAGGCCATAGTCTCAGGCCCCTGCATACACACACACACACACACACTTCCTCTAATAGATTACATGGCTCACTGGGCTGATGAACTCAGCAATTTTCTGGTCAGGGTGCTTCACGCAGCGCGTGTGTGGACCACACCGTGGGGGGTTGCTTGGCTGAGGTCCAGTTCTTGGGGTCAGTTTCTGAGTTTGAAACCCGTGGAAATTTCCCCAGCATCTCTGTGTGCCTGGATTACCTACCACATTTATAAACGGTTACCCTCATGCAGAATTCTGGGTTATGCCCCCCCCCAGCCCCAACAGGCAACTACTGATAAATGCCCACGGATAAGCAAAGGTTTCATTCGTGGTGACACACACCCCACAGACTAATCGCTGTTTAAGTTCTGATTAAGCTTTTGTTATTTTGACGTGCCGCTCTATAGCGTGTAACGATTACCAGTAAAAGGAGCGCTGTGTATACTGGTTCTCCAACATAGTTGCAGTTCTCCATAGCTCCATGTTCTGTATATACTGGAATGCATCTGTTGTCCACATTTTGGGGTTTGAATTTAGCTATTTATTAATTAGAAAGCTGGAAATATATTAAATCAGCCCTAACTGAGACTGAAAAACACCACTTGTTTAAACACTTGGCTACCCGTCACCCAGCAGCTATACTATGGAGTAGTATTATGGGATGTGTGGGCAGAGGTAGGTATACGATTAACAGGCACGTTGTCTAACATCAGGGATACAGGCGTATGCTCCTGAACACTTCATCATTTTAGAATAACAGAGAGAGCACTACAGAGTCCCCCCCCCCAACCAAGGCAGTCACCTGCTGCTGTTCCATTAGCACCATGACCGTGGGGTCAGGCTGGGGGCAGTGTGCACCCCCGCCCTTGCTGGGGTAATTAATGGCAGAGCTCACTTCCTCAGCACGCCACCGTCGGTTCGGGGTCTGCCGCATCTCCCCAGCTTCAAAGCAGAGCAGAGGTGCTGGTGGGGGGGGGCCCTAAAGGCAGGTGACACCCACCAACAGCTTAACGACCCCCTATTTAACCCCAAGCCCCCAGAGTAACCCTCAATGACTGTCAACATCCACAGTGTCTCCCTCTCTTTCAGCCACTGCGGCTCTCACACCCTTAAACAGGAAATTATCCAAATGAGACGACCGCCGGCATCTCCTGGCTTGGCGATAAAACTCATCATTGAAAAAAGGGAGAACAAGCAAACTGAAGCCGACAGAACCAGGCCCGGACCCAAAGCAGCAACCCTCAAGGCCAAGCTTTCGCGGTCGACGTGTGCAGCTTGCATGTTCTCTCCACGTTCAAGCGGGTCCAGGTGAACAGAGACCTGGGGTTCTGATGTGTGGAGAAGGTACCGCCGTTTCAGAGCAGCCGGCCATACAGGATGTGACCGGCCTTGACAACTACTCTACCTGGCTTGTCGGTCGTAGAAACCAAATGAACTGAACTAAATAAAACAAAGTCTGGCCTGAGCGCATGTGTTGAGCAGAGCTCTGAAGCAGTAAAGTCAGATGCACCTTTTTCCCAGTTGTTCTAGCACTAGGTTCTGATCTAGATGGATCCAGAAACAGACGGGAAGTGGACACACGGCTCGGGCAGTCCCCCCCGCCCTCCTTGCCAGCTCCTGTGTGTGCGTGCGTGCCTGTGTACGTGTGCACACGCTGCTTTTCCCCGAGTCGGGGCGGGGGGCGGTTTGGCACACAATAACCGATGACATCATCGGCCTCTCCACACTGACTCGCAGGCTGACCTGCCCGTGAACCCGTTCTGGTGAACGATCTGCAAGATGCTGGTTCCTCCTGACCAACACTCACCTCCCCGGCCGCCCAGCTATGCTGCTGGCCGCAAACCCGGAATACAGATCAGCCCGGCGGCCCAAGCCCGGGTTAGGGGCGCAATGGCGGGCATCGTGTTCAAACCTCGACTTTTAAAAGGCTGGCGGTAAATACCTCACGGGACGCTGGATTGCCCGAAACTGCCAATCAGAATTTTACGATGAAACGGCAACAGGATCAATATCCAATAAGAAATCTCAGCTTGAGCCCAGCACATGACTGAAACGGACACGTCAAAAAGGTCATTCCCCCCCTTCATCAGCCGTAAAAATCCAAGCTCCGCCTCTAGTTCCTGTTCTTGCCCTTTTGCGTAGGACACTTGGGGGGGGGCTCTATTGACAACTGCTCGTCATTTCAAATGTAAATGCCTCCCTCTCCCTTGACTTCGTTTTCACGGCCTCCACAGGGACGGGACGCCGTTTGAAAGTCACGCACCGTCGCAACTCAAAGCCGTGCGTCACCCGAGCCCCAGCTGCCATTGCTCTGAACCGTCAGGCGCGAAGTTCAAGGAAACACCTGCCTCACTTTCACCCCTCTGCGGAAAAAAACAAAGACCAAAGACTCGTGTGTCAGCCACGTCTGCTGCAGACTGTACCTAGGGAGCTAAAACAAAGAGCAGAGACTGCGCATCACAGGCATCTGTGAGCGCAGCTCGAGCAGGCGTGAGCCCCGTCCCAGGGGTAAAAAAAAAAAGAAAAACCTCATATCAGCAAGTGAGAAAGTTATTTAGCTTACAGTTTAGTTTTTGCCAGCTGTACCACTTGATAAATTGTTGCTGCAGCAGCTTTTAAGAAACGTTCCCAAGGGTACAACAGTGAGGCACACTCATGGATTCTTAGACCCAATCTATTAACCATCATGTCACTATGTCTTCTGTATGCGGAGAGTGTATACTACATTAAATATTTTTTTTTGTTTGGTTCCTGTCCTTCATGAAACTCCAGCAGTTCCAAAAGTTCTGTGCATTTGAGAAGTCGGTCTTACTCCTAAAAAAAAAAATTACAAGATTATAGGGCCCTGGGGTTTTTCTGCACGGAACAAACTGAGAATCGAGCTTTCGAAAATACCGCTGATTTGTGCAGGAGTAGCAGTGCAGTTCATGCAGGGTCAGGGAGGAAAAACCAACCACTTTGAGTAACAGAGCCTTTAAATCCCAGAACTGCGTCAGGCCCAGTGCAGGCAGAACAAAAAAAAAATCTTCCCGTTTTGGAAAGATGGCTCGAATGGCCAGAGGGAAGCTCAATCTCCATGAACCTGCTGTCAACACAAATGAGTGTAATCGCTGAGAAACGCAGGGAAGAATCTCCCACTGCTTCAGAGCAAGCAGCCGTGGTTCTGACCAGGGCAGGCAGCCTTCAAGTCAACATGTCAGTCCCTTCATTCAGCGTGAAAGTAGAACCACAGACCGACAGGCAGCACAGCAATCAGACTGCATTCATTAAAAAAAACCTTCCCAATGTACAGTAGCATGTATGAGTAGGTGGCTGCTTTCACCTACAGCCTACAATGCTTCTTCCTACAAACCAATGCGAAGACACCACAGGCTCCCAGGCTCTGCTTTCATCAGCTCCATGGCAAGATAATACAGTTAGATGAGGCGTTTTCTACTCATCCGCCCCTTGAGTGACCCTAAGCTGATAGTCTCACCCAAAAAGCGCCAACGATAAACCATCGGACAAAAGATAAAGCTGAACATGCCAGCAGCCAACGGTGACGACGACACACAAGCCGTGGCGCGTATCACGAAGCCAAGGTGTCCCAGTGTAGACCGGCTTCGTCTTCGGTGACTTACATTTAGCCCAGACCACCTTAAATCCGACAAGTTAAAAGCAAGAGATCCTGCTTCGTGATACAGACCCCAGATCTAAGCATGAAAGCCGCACCCCTTTCTGTGTGTAAACACCAGAGAGTAGCGGCACCTGTCAGCAGGAGGTGGATTGTGTGCTGTGTTGATCCATTCATTGTCGTGTTAGTCTGAAGAGCAATGCGTTCATTTAGAAGTCAAACCCTGAAAGCGTGTGCTCAGACCTACAATACAGAGAGATGCAGACCTTGGACACGTTCAGATGTTAGATGTTTTGGGATTTATGGTGATACTGACTGTTCCACCCAATGAACTCTGGCAAGACACAACCACCAAGTTCAATTAGTTTTTCAGTTTTTAGCTCAAACAACAACTCCAAAAACTTTCCATCTTAAATTTCTGGCTAGCTGTGTCACTGTTAACCCAGGGATGAGTTTTCCATGTGATTTTTTTAAATATCAGCTTTAATAACATCACAAAAAACATATCAGGTATTGTAGGCCCACTGTACAATTATAATTAAATTAACTCCCAATTTAAATCCATGTGGTCAGAAGTCAACCATAGCATGAGCAGCAGAGATCCAGCACTCTTGGATATCCTCATCTGCACATAAACTGCTGTAGCATGTAGCTGGACGTCACCTAAGTATCAGCAGAAACCACTTTGCAAAACATCTAGTTCAAAGCTGAAAGTCCTTCATATTTTAATGTTTAGCCTGTCAGCTTTCGTAACAGGAACCTGCTGCCCTAAAAACATAGTGGGGGGGGGGGGGGCAAAGATTTATTTAACCCAACATTCACTACAGTTATACTGCTGTGACGCCAACCCATAACCTGCACAGCACAGCATAGCACAGCTGTAGGACAGTGTTTGTCCTGACCTCTGCAGCAGGGTGTGTGTCAAATTGAACCCGCAGAAGGACGCTGGCCTGTTGATTTTAATTCCGCTCCCCCAGCATAACCAGGCCCATTTCAATGATCCCTCCTCTTTATACCAACGCACTTGCTCAAAACTCCGAACCATTTACGGGCACGGTATCCAATGGCACTGACCGGGAGCCTGTCCTGGGAGCACAGCGGTGCACACCCTAGGCCAGATCACAGACAGCAATTCCAGTGAAATGCATTTGTATGGTGGGGCCACATAAACACAGAGATCCAGTGGCAGAATCAAACTTGCCAGTCTAGAAGTATCTGTGAGAAAATTATTCACACTGACCCACTGTACTACACAAAACACAGCACAGATAGATTATTTCCATAGCAAAGGGGGGGGGGGGTGAAATTTAATCACAGGAGGTGGCAGGTAGCCCTCACAAGTACCCCACAATCTACACAACTGTGAGATTCCAGCCAGACACCCCAAAGCATGTGAATGGTGCCCTCATAGTACAGAGTAGCAGTAGTTTATCCCCCCCATGGGGAAACAAGGGTAGTTTTTACATATCCCATCTTACTCTATAAGGGACATAGGTGCATGTGCATATACTGTACAACTGCGAGCAAATTTTGGGGTCAGGGTGCCAGGAAGGCCAGTCTTGAGGAATTCGAATTTTCTTCACTTTGGTCTCCAGCCAATGTGTCTGAAAACAATGTCATTGTTTTAACGAGGCTGCTTGGAACAATTGTCCTGTGACCGGAGACCTGCGGAAATATGACCTATAATCATAAACTGACCTACTCTCATACGTGTTTTCACGTTTCGCACAAAAAGATTGAGTTCGGGAAAACATCACCCCCTTTAAAATCATTAGGACAGTCCTGAAATCAGAGCCTTCCTATTGACGACTGCACATCCTCTGCCAGACCCGCAATCGCTGAAGATCCATTAATCATATCCTGATTATGAGAGTGATTTGATTTAGACCACCACAATATAAAAGTTAAACGAAATCAAATGGAAAATAAAAACTCTTAACAGCATTTGTTAACCGACACTTTTACGGACTGTAATGAAATTCACCAGACTTCACCTCCCCTTTATCCCAGAGGATTAGCTCTTAGGAAGGTGCTTCACAGGCATGACTGGGGCAAAGTCCGACCCCATATGCTTGATACACTTATAAAACTCTGTCCAAACCTTATTGACTCTTCCATGACAAGCCTATGCATGAATTTGCTCTCGGTTGCGCTTACCAATCAGTGCTGTAATGCAACAGGCTTTCCCCACTAATATTGCTTCGGGACCGAAAGGCAGGCGGTCCCAGGTGCCTTATAAAGGCACACGCGTTAGCAAAGACCGCACGGCCGACGGGCAAACTGACCCGCAGCTTCACCGTATCATAAACCTGCATGCAAACTCTTAAGTGTAGCTCGCAAACAAAACGAGCTGCTTCTCTCGGACGAATGAACGCGTGTCGCATACACAAGTAACGCAGGGTAGGGGTACTTTACCTTTTTCGCCCCTTGTTTGGCAAACTCCCTCGCCAGGTGCCGGCCAATTCCCCTTCCACCGCCCGTGATAAGTACGACCGATCCGCTCAGGTCCTTCCGCTTGCACGGCAGCAACAGGTACACGCATGCCTTCAGTATGTAATATACCATTTGGATAGGGAAACGTACAACGGCAGTTAAATACTTAAGATCCATATCTTTTTTCCCGTTGGGATAATTAATTCCAGTCTTGTTCTTTCGGAGTTGATACAATGTCTTTAAGTACAGTTCCTTGATCACAGTCTTTTGCAGGACTGCTGTTCCCGACGTGAAAGTGCCCGTTCGGCGCGTGCCGTTTCCTTCACTCCTGCCGTTAAGATTTCAGGATCAGACACTTCGCTCTCTGCAGATCCCCATGCGGAGACCCTCCTCTCGCTCCTGATCACAGACACCAGCGAACAGTTTTTAGCAAAATGCGCCCGCAGTGTGTGACACAGTGGCATAAACTTTGCCCCGGTGAGCGATCCAGGCAAGTTTGCATGCCTGTCACGGTTAAAGAAACGCACCGATGTAGTCCTTTTTTCCCCCTTCCTGTGTCCTTTTGCTGAAAGGTGGAAAATAATTCAAAGACAATAGTGATTAAATAATAATAATAATAAATAATAATAATAATAATTATTATTATATTATTATTAATAAACCCTTAAAATAAAAGTCAAAACAATGTAATTAGGCAGTGCGGCTGGGACCGGGAACCAAATCGATATACGGGACAATCATATTTACCCTAAAGAGCTTGTCAGATCCGGGCCCCTTTCTCAGTCTGTTTTCATTCCCGCAGTTTCTGGAAGACTTGTATCTGATGGGGAGTTTTATAGACCATTAATCCTGATTGACAGTTTAAGTGTTTGGGAATATTGCACTACTGTGTTGTCTGTGAGTGGCTGTTTTCTTCCTCTGCCTCCCCCACCCCCACCAGTCATGCTACGACTCCGATGGGAGCCAATTATCGTCAAGGTATTTTTCACGCTGAATTCGACATTATAAGCTTTTATATGGGGCCCGTTAAGTGACATTTTTAGGGGTCTGATTTTTAATCTACGATTGTGTAAATGGAATTTAAAATCTCTTTCAAAAAGTTTCCCAGAACTTGGACTTCTGGTGTCACAGAACAGCGCGCAGATTTATTTTTTCTGCTTTAGTAAATTGATGTCACCAGGGCATGCAGGCGGTGGACCATCCTTCAGATGTGTTTCAGATTTTTTTTCTTCTTCACAAGATGTCTCCCAGAGTGATCGCTGTAATTATAAATTAAATTTTTACCCTCTTTGCTACAGTGAGAAATACGCCAATGACAAACGCGTATCACGCCGTATATAATTCATTCTGTCTGGGGTCATGTAATTGATGGCTTTGCCAAGCTATGAATTTACGCTGGCATAAGATTTTTCCTCTAAGGTATTATTAAAGTTGCTGTTTTTTTTATACGCCTGCACCTTGTACAGCGATGCAGTTGTCACGGGGAGATGCCCTTTCCCTCCTCCGCCTGCCCTTTCCATGTGTGAGCCGGGGTCATGGTGTCAGGCTTGTACTAGTGTTAACACGCTCACAATGAGAGATATCAGCACCTTACGCATCACCGTGGTACTTTTTTTTGCTGGACCAGTTATACAAGAACTGCAGGGCGCATCCGGCATCCGAAAAGTTCTTGGTATTTTCACTGAAACGGGGATCGCTGGGTGTTTCTCTTAACCTGTAATGGAATGTATTGTTTTTTTCTCTGTGCACTTCAAATGTTAATTTCTGCTACGAAATATCAATGTATTTTCATTTCTTGTTGATGTTACAGTCACCAGAAGGTGCAAAGGTACGTTTGGAGTTATGTAAAATTCTCTGTCCCAGTTTTCGTTTTCAGATTTCCGTAAAGCTTGGGAAAGAACATTCTTGGACTGGACAGTTTTATGGGGGGGGAAATGAAAGCACGTTTCTTATTAGATATCCTTGTGTCAAGAAAGAGGTAGACTTGTAAAGGATGGATAACTTGCCTAGTTTCTGCCATATTAGCTCAATCCCTGCGGTAATGTAGGCCTACACTGAAACATCACAGTCACACATATTGGACCGAATGTAATTCCTGCGCAAAAGTATGACACGTTAAATACACTGACTAATATCTGCTGCCAGGCTGGGTTTGTGGGGGTGGATCTAATGTTGCTGCTTGTATTCAGCGCCAAAAGGCAGAGATAGAATTCTTCAAGAAGCACTATAAAACCCCCGAATACCGCTCAGCTCTGTTACCAGCCAAGGTATGCCTGCATTGCACAGGAAACACACCGCAGGCAAACTTACTTTAATGTTACTTGGAAAAAAAAACAGCAAATAAGTTACCTTGCAACATTGTATGTGAGCTAAAAAAAAAACAAAAAAAAAAACAACTTTAATCATTCTTCTTCTGTTTAATGCCTCAAGACACTGAGGTCGATGTGAATACGTATAATATAATATTTGTAATATATCTGACATTAATTCCTTTGTAGATACTCTTGAATCTAAGATATAGTATTGTATTTACCATATTCCCTCTGATACTTCACAGTAAGGATTCAGATATATTACAACAGGAATTCAACCAGCAATTCAGAGGTCTCCACTGCCACCTACAGATGCTTAAAAAAAGTCGCTAAGGAAGCATATAATTTCGTTTCTGAATCTGCTATATTTAATTTAAAATACGCCCTATATCCGCAGCTATGTCGTTTTATGTGCTTATGGGAAAGGTAACGAGCTTTCGTGCTTTTAGTATTTCGGCTAAAATAAGGTCAAACTTTACGATCTAATACATTTCAGTCGAACATATTTATGAGTGTCCTGTACCAAATTATTCGTACAGAATGTCACACAACAAAAGAATACTACAAAAAAAGCGTTTCTTAGAAAATTAATCAATATATGTTTTAATTATTCATATTGTCTTGAGTTCTGTACAAAGTATTTTTGGAGAAATAGTCTTGAAGCTCTCGTTTAACCTGATCTGAAGGGCGGCCGCATATTCTTCATGACTTTCATCTTACATAATAGATAATGTTTAGGATATGTTAGATTTTGTATATGAAGAGCTAATTTCTGTTGATTGCTCATTTTAATGCGTGGGAATTCTTTACATTTCTTACAAAAGCTGTATACAGTATGTACCCTAGATATTTTGGTGGTTGATGCACAGTTTAATGGGACATTAACACATTTTAGAAAAATGATTTTGTGCTACAAAATAACACCAATTATTCTTAAGATGTCTTGGTTATACGTAAAATATCATGTTGTCTTTTTTTCTTAAATCTGCACATAGAGTATATTTTGTAATATCGTGTTTATTTACCCAGAAAAAAAAACTCACTTTTGTAACTCTGTTTATTGAGGCAATTATTCTTACTCTTCATATTTTATGCTCTTTTTTGTGTTTTTATGAAAAACACCTAAGAAATACATGGTTTTATGGCCTTCCATAATTTACTGAGGCAAATGGAAGCATTAAAAGACCCGATTTGCTCCAACCAGAATACTTACACCCTCCCTCACGCATGTGAGCTTTGCACTGCAGTAAGCATGAGTCAAGCGTGGTCTATCTAATCAGCTTCAGTGCTGCACTGCTATAGCAAAGCAACATTAATGTCGCTGATCAGCAGAGCTCTAACTGATCTGGAACAAGTGTGAAAATGACTTGGAAAGGGATAAAGTTCTTTTTAATTTGGTGAAATTAGGTCATGTAACTTTGCCCAGCAACAACAAACACTTAACACACTTGGGTTTAGAGTTCTTGGTGTATCTACTTTAGATAGACGCATCTGTTAAATTAATATTTAGGTGACTTAATACAACTCCTACGCAACCTAAACATGGTGTACTAATTGGCGACCAAGTGCGATATTTAACCCAGCAGTTCTTTGTGTTTGTGTCAAAATATGAATCAATTTATGCAATTTTTACCCACATTGAACATAGATGTTTTGTATTAAACTGTATATATAATTTATTGTATAATGATATTTTGTTCAAATTATTAAATTACATTTTATTTACATTTATTTACACAGCTGTTTTTTGTTTGCAAAGCAAAAAAAAGCAAGACAAGGTTTGTTTCTCTTTTTCCAGTTTAAGCCCAGATTCATTAAGAAAATGTCATGTGCGAAACGGGAAATAGTGGAGACGGCATTCAAGCAAACAATTCCTGCCTAGAGCTACTGTCAACGAGTACAAAGGGACCAAAATATAACTGAGTGAAAGGTGGGGAGATTCACATTGTGGGCCTGCCCACACGATGCCAGTCCGATTTAAAAAAAAAATAAAAGGTTACTCCTGACAAACACTATACCCTATTGTAATTAGAAAAAAAAAGAAACAAACTGATGTTTGCTAAACTGAGACCAGGCCAAGAGATGAGTCGTCAGATTTTTCCTTCTCAGAAAAGGCTGCCTATTTTTTCGCTTTCAAATTGTACGAAAACAGAAAACAGTCCGGCAGCCTTGTAGACGGCCAGAGCGGAACCCCAGGTCTGTGCAGAAGCAGCAGTTCGAGGTCCAGCGCGTCTGTGGCTCTCATGTGACTTCAAGGGTCATCGTAAGGAGCAGTGTCAGCAGGCGGAGCGCCAGCGCGTCACTGCGGGATGCGGCGTCTGCAAGAGCAAGGGGCGAACAGGCGCGCAGTCAGGAAACGTCCAGGACCGGGTACGTGAGAATACAGCATGTCCTGATTTTGCCGAGTTCGACATCTCCCTAGGTCAACAAGGCAGGGGCTTGAGTTTCGATTCTTTTTGTCCAATCCACATCCAAACACGACGAAATCAAGACGTCCTTGGAGGAAAGGGTTCCTAGCGGAAAGGTGTAACTGAGTGGGGGTTTGCTTTTATAACTGTTATTTGTATTGAAATTACACACTTGTACACAGGGGGAGAAAAAGTTATAAGGCAAACATGCACTCATATATGACAAAATAATGATGCTGGTCTCTGCAGGGGAAATTAAACACATTAACCGCTGTTAACCCTGTACTATACAGTGGCAGAGTACGGAAATGCTGACCTACATCTGTTTTCCATGACTGCCTATCCGCACCATCTCTATGTAGTTATAAAATGCTACATTAACACACTGTAAACGTAGGAAGTGGGTGTTTCCTTAGTCACGTCCTTAATTACAACCATGAAGACATCAAACCCATGCAAAATTTCACAAGTTATTTGATTTCCACGCCAGGTGTCTCCTTGAAATAAAGCAACCTCATTCTGTCACCGCTACAGCAAACTACAGCTAAAACCTTATCGCATCATCTTCCAGTATAGATATGGCTTAATTTTCCTGTTGCAGAAGCTGTCGCACTGGGAACAACCTGTTATGCTTCTGAAAGCCTTCATAGCACTCATATACAACAGTGCATAATTTAATTATATGGCCGTTTATTTTTTATCTTAAGTGAGTTAATTATTTGTGCTGAAGTACACACTTCTAATTTACTGGCATCTAAGCTCTACCCTAAAGCCTTGACTCCTTATCGTTTGAGGAGGTTAATCTTGACTTGTATTTTACAGTTTCTAAATATGAAACAGACCAGCCCAGTGTGCTGCCTGTATCCAGGCCTACAGCTGGGTTTACATGCATGGAAATGCAGGGTCACTAGTATACAGCATGTAACCATCACTGGACAAGTTCTCCCTGAAAGTTTTGGGGCAGGTTCCCGCCATAAACTAACTGCAATGGAACAGTTTTAGTCGTCAATAGTAATAGTTTGGTAACACTTAACTTAAAGCAGTTGTCATAATGCATTATAGATACCTTCAGTTTGCATTCATAAAGTATTATAAACACGGCTATAACCATTTAGAAAAAGTCATAACACATTATAGCCATGTTAATTATGCATTATGAATGCTCTATGAAGCTGTCAACTGTAAC